CACACACACACACACACACACACACAAATTTATACAATTTAATTTGATTCACATTTTAAATAGTTATAATTGATTATAAATTGATTCTTGATTAATTAGTTACATTCCTACTTTAAAACATTTAAAACAATAAAATTGTTAGGTACCCAGTTATCTTTAAACACAGTAAAATCCAGTGAAAACTGCAGGTCTGACCTTGAGTGAGAGAGATCCAGCCATGTAGAAGTGGTCCAGGTCTATGATGGATGCCAGAAGCCCCGCCAGCAGCACCTCATACAAATCACTCCTTTTCCTCAGTCCGATCACAATCGCCCACGACCACAGCCCTATCAGTCCGTGAGTGGCATTGTCCAAGGCGGCGCGCAGCCACAGGTGGTTCTGGACGGCGGACAGCTGGAGGGCGTGGTCCGCCGCCACGCAGAACATCCCGAGCCCCGCCGAGGCCAACAGGGAGGCCGAGCTGAACGTCTGCAGGAGGGCCTGGGCTTTCTCCGCCTCCAGAGCCAGGCTGAGAGGCACRCGGGCAGCGCCTTCTCCCCCGAGGCCCACCCCAAGCAAGGGGGTCGAGGACTGGGAGGAGTCGAGCTTGGAGTAGAATCCTTGCATGTTGAACGATGGGCTTGGGGAGCCAATCACCAGAGTAAGTCAGCAAGGTTCACACAGACTGGAAAAAGAGAGAAATAAATAAATAAATATGAATGTACACTTTTCTTTTCCAGATAATATAGAGTGTTTCCTTTCAATTTGTCATTTTGATTTCTGGTCCACCCAGTCAAACTGAACATAATCTGCAGCCTCAGATCACTATCATCCACTTATTATTATACCTAATTCATCTGCTTGCAAAACACGAGGACACACGTGCGTTTTGTGGTAAATGAACAATAACAAACAAGTGAAGCAACGAATGTGCAAAACAGAATGTCAGACAAGTGCACACAAACATCAATGGGCCCTCATCATACTGTACTGTGTCATGTAAGGAAGTGAAATGTGGGACAGACTCACTGTGCCTCTGTCGCTCATGTAACATCAGTCCCTCTTAAATAATAGATTCAACCGGTTTGATCCTAAATCTTAGCTCTCTSTTATTTTTAGCTGCGTTGCCTCCGACATTAAGCAGCTAACGCTTCCGTTTCTTCTGTGCTCCTTTCTAATTTAAACTCAGTGTTGAAAAATAAAACGCACGTAATTAAAAGGAATAAATACACTTTACTTAGCGACAAAAGCATCTCTGATAGCTTAACGGGCATCAGGAACGAGCGAGGTGTTGCTTTGTGTAGGCGGTGAGAGAGGCTGTCACCAGACACTCTAATTAAATTATGCTCATTTACACCACGGGGCATGTTTTTGTTTCGCATAACAACACAACATTTCAGGATATATCTGTTTAAAAACATATTTTAATGCGATTTAGAGGGACCAAAATGAATAAAAGCAGGTTACTCACCCCATCACTGTGCATCTTTAACCTACCACTGGGYTGGGCTTCACTCTTCTTCGACGGGGATGATCCTGCTTCTCGGCGGCGCACACTGCCACCCAGTGGTAATAAGTGGTAAACGCAAGTGAACGTGAACATCTGCTTTGAATGACACAAAAATGTATATTTAAATGCTTTGTCAGTAATTCAACTCATAGGGTTTTCTATTAATGTTTTTAGTAACACGATTTTGAAATAGTGCAGTAGATCAAAATGTTTTCTTACAGTGTCATCAACCACAGTGCACGAAAAGCACATTAAAAAAAACTATAATAAACCAAATAACCTATTTAACTTGTTTTAACTCTGTGTTCAAATATATGTAAACGAGTATATTTGCTAAGAAAATAACCCTGTGTGTATAATTCAGAATTCAGATAAACAAATAAAAAGTAAACTTTTTCTTTTTACATTTTAAAGTCTTTTTATTTATTGTGTTAAAATACTTCAATCTTGAGGGTGAGGATTAAGCTGTAGAAATTAATGGAAGTCAATGCCAAGTCCCCATAAAGATAGCTGCCCCAATTTTTTTTGTGCGTGTGTGTGTGTGTGTGTTTGTGTGTGTGTGTGTGTGTGTGTGTGTGTGTGTGTGTGTGTGTGTGTGTGTGTGTGTGT